TGTGTCACTCTCCAGCTTCAGACGCCGGAGAGAAGCTGATGAAGCAGATCTCTGCTTCATCAGCTTCTTCAGGGGGGTCCTAGGTGACATTATTGGTCTTGAAGACCCCTGATGTCTCCATAAAGAGGACCTGCCACATCTTTTGCTATCACATAGAGGGGGTTTTTAGCCCCCTATGTGATAGCAATAAAGTTAAGTGGAAAAAAAAAAAACAGGAAAAAAATGTAAGTTTCCAAAATAAAATTTAAGTTACACATAAAAAAGAATTTAAAAAACAAAAAAATTTTAATAGCCCCCACCCATACATATACGCATGCAAACATGCGTCAGGTGCGCATACCTGCGAAAACGATGATTGCGCCCATTACGCTGCACATGTTACATATCGCCGCGAACGTCGCAGTGAGAGCAATAATTTTAGGGCTATCAATCACTGATAACACTAAACGGATGAGCGGTAAAAGCTTTTAAAGCATCGCCTATGGTCAATTTTGGGTATTGTAGTTTTTTGCAATTTCGCGGGTGCGTGCAATTTTTAAGCATGACATGTTTGGTGTCTATTTACCCGACGTGACCCCGTCTTTTATATTTTACCAAAAAACTGGGTAATAATAATTGTTTCCTAACATAATGTAAAAAACACTTTTTTTTCCCCAAAATTTTTGGTAAATTTTCTGAAATATAGAAAAAAAAACCCCCCCGAGTGGTGAATAAATACCACCAAAATAAAGCTCTATCTGTCCCTAAAAAATGGTATAAAATTCATTTCAGTACAGCGTTGCATGACGGAATAAATGTCAGTCAAAGTACCGCAGCGCTAAATACTGAAAAATGGCCTGGCCAGGAAGGGGGTCTAAACACCTGGTCAGCAAGTAGTTAAGGTAAGTCCTGACACTAGCATTGGGTGGAGGGGAAGACAAATAGCCTTTAATGTCACTTTAATATATTGCAGTTGAATGTGTTGGCTGCATTTTTTTAGGCTTTTTTTTTTTTCCACCTGGTGATCTGGACAGCAAGGCTGTTATTTTTCAACTTCCTTTAACACGCCATGCTGTGCAGCAGAAGTGGCAGATATGGGGTTAAAAACAAATCATTTAACACTGACAGTCTGCTCACAGTGGTCGGCTTTTATTCATTTCTGTAAAACCTTTATCCCATAAGCAAAACAAACTGTAAAGTTGGCCATACACTGTACTCCGGCTGAATGGAAAAAATATCACAGGTTCCTCCATTAAATATCACAGGTTCCTCCGTCAATGCTAAAGGTGCCCATACACTGCACGATTATCGTACGATAATCGTATGCGATCGGTTTTTCGTACGATAATCGAGCAGTGTGAACGGAGACGTGCGACCATTTCTACTGGGACGGTCGCACGTCTTCCGTCGAACCAGCATGTTCGAAAACCAGCCGGGAATCGTACGATTCTCGGCTGGTTAGAACGATGCTCGGAAGACAAATGCCGAGCGGGCTGGTGTGCGCACGCGCACACTGCCCGTTCAGCATTGCGGTCATGATCGAGAGTGCGATCTGCCTGTCCAAGATAGGCAGATCGTACGTTTTTTTAATCCCTGTACAACCATCGCAAGACTAAAGTCTTGCGATGGTTGTAGAGTGTATGGCCACCTTAAGAAGCGTGGATGGAGGAATCCCCTGCTGTTTCCGCTGTAATATTACCTGAAGAGAGCTTGCAGCTGATTGACTGCAAACACCATTCGGCCAAAGATTTTCCAACCGGCTCCTTTATCTTCTGATCGAGGGATGCCGGGGGGAAGGGTGCTGACAGGGGCATCCACTGTGCGAAATTCGCATAGTGTATGGCCAGTTTTTACAGTAACTCCTTAAAAAGTGTTGGCTGGAGTTCTGATTTAATTTGTTAGTCAAGGGCATTTAAATCTGCTAGGACATCTAATGCTACCCTCTTCACAGGCTGATAATGCTGCTGTCCAAGGGGAGCTCAGTTTCTTCTCCACAGATACAGTGGAAAAGCTCAGCCTTTCTAAGACAGGGAGTATATTACTGGCTGGATGACCGGGTAAAAATAAAGGGAAAAAAATAGCCTTAAAAAAAGAGAAAACTAATGCAGTCACCACATTTAATGCAGAACTCCGGGGAAAATAAGTTTACTTTTTGAGGCGTGGCTACTCTCACTTTGCAAGGGTTAAATACTCATTTTTGTCTAGGTTTAGAAAAAAACATTATAATCACCTGATCCTCAGAGCCATAAATGTGAAAATACACACGAATGCACGCAAATGCGACGCACTTTGCCTGTAGAGAATTGACCCTAGGTGTAACGGTTTGGTAATTGATTCCGTTTGTCAGCACTTAACAAACACGGAATAGCTACTATGATATTAGTAATAGTTCTTTTCTCATTTCTGTCTGTCACTCATGGTAGATGCTGGAGATTGTCAGGCAGAACCTGGAGGAGTGTGATGTGCAAAAAGAAATTAATCACTTCATTCAGGACAAGACCATTGGACGGATCCCACCAGGTATGCAGCTGCCATGTGGATCACCGTCTCCTGGCAATGTATAGGGATATAGGACAGTTTTAGCTCTGTCCTGTGATTGATAATAGGGATTTCTTTTCTGCTCCCAGGTCCCGTCCTGTATGAGAACTATACTAATGGATTCATTCCAGGGAGCAGTAATGGATTAAGCACGCCAGGTGGCAGCAATAAAATGATAAAAAGGTGAGAGATAGGGATAGGAAACCTAATTTCTGATATATACATCCTGAATGCTGTAAAGACACGTGATCTCCAGCACACCCACATCCAATATGTTTTTGATTCTTGATATGTATGTGCCTACATGAATCATTATACTCTTCATTTTATATTGTTAGTCACACTGAAGACATAACAAAAAATGTGATCAAAGCAGATACCTTTCCAGTCTACCCATCAACCGCCACAAATCTAGAAGGCAGAATTATGTTAATACAAGTTGATGTTAAATTTATTATTTATTAAAGGGCTACTGAAACTTTTTTTTTCAGTTGAGTGGAGGGGGAATTAGAAGATCTGTCAGGTTTTTATTTCTGTCGGTGTCCCCGTTAGGGAGATTCACCCTCTTTATTTGTCCTGGTGAATGTTATCACTGAAAGTGAACAAAAATCCCAAATGTTGGGTCAGAACAAGAATAAATGGGAAATCTTCCAAAGGGGATGCTAGTTCTGGTGATCCTACTGACCACCAGGGATTTCCCTCACTTTGTAGCACCCTTTGTAGCTGCTTTTATGCCTTTTTAATAAAGAAACTCCATGAAAGCTGACTTTTACACTCAAAAATCAAATTCTACCAATGCATCCCTCTATGTATGATGATTAATAATAACATAGACATTTCAGGTGTAAAATGCTGTGATTATGAAATACTTACATTTGCAGAACATTCACTTCCTGATTTGAAAGTGCAAACGACTTCAGTTTGCCAAAGCAATGCACACTGGGATTGCCTTGTCATCAGCAGAGCACTCCTGGGAAATCTCATCTGTAATCTCACAGGATCGCAGGGAAAGGCCTTTTCCTCCCCTGAGATGATGTGCATGGTCACATGTCCTAGTCACATGTATAGTCACATGTGCCACAAATCCAGGAAGTAAATGGAGAGTTAGTAATCTGCATTTAGTAAACATGGCCACTGTCAGAAGACTGGGGAAGAAAATAGAAATAAGGTATGCACAGAATACGAAGTCTGCAATTATCTAGAAGTATGTGTAGATTGTCATTACTAAACATTTCTAAAGGTGTGTTTGATGTTATTTTAAAGATATTGGTAAAGGCCCGCCTTAAGAGGATTCCTACGATTGCCAGCCTTTTCCACTTCTCTTTGGAGGGATTCCCTCTTACTTTCTGTTGTAGCTATTGGACAGTAAGCAAAGGGAAATCTCCTCAATGGGACACAGATGGCAAAACAACTAACAGGGTTCGTAATCCTCCCTTACTTTAAATGTAAACCATCATATCAGTAAGTTTTATCCTTTTACCTACCTTGCTTTTCTGGCAGCCATGTGTGTTTATGACCAGTGCAGGCCATGCTTCCAGCTCATTAGTACTGTACAATGACTGTACTTCACTGCTCCTCATTAATATAATTTGATACAAGACCAGTCACCCTGCACAAAGAGAAAGAGAAGCAATGACTGGTCTCGATAACAGGAAACTTCTGCACAGAGGTAAAGTTTTTTGCTGGTTTACTGCACAGATCTGGAAAGAAATACACCAAGATTCAAATAATAATACACACCCCTCATGTATATAGACAATATTTGCTTATCCTGGAGTTCAGCTTTAAATCTACTAATATGACTGCAGGCCTTAATTGTATGCACCTGGAGGTACCTACAGTATATGTATTTTCAGATACCTTGCAGAGTGAGAGGAGCCTGAGAACCCTGGATGCTCTGCTATATAAATCTTCTGGTTCTGAGCTCAGGCCTGCGCTCTCCATTCTTACGTGGGTCACTTTTGCTCAGTGATGCTTATCATATTTAGGAACCAATAGAGAGGTGGGCTAGCCCAAGCCTCAGAACCTGAATTTCCAGAGCTCCTGGAGTTCACTAGCTCTGGGTGTTCAGTAAGGTATCTGCCTGCATTACACTAGTATAACATATAACCTGTAGCTTATGAATGTAAAAGTATCGCTTTGGTAAACTAATACATTGGGGGCGATTCAATAAAGGCTTTGCAACACAATTCTGGTATAATGGCTGTATATAGAACTGTTGCACCAAATTCATAAAAGGTGTGCCACAGTTTCACAGTTAATACTGACATGTGTGACAAATTCATAAAGATGGTATTTGGGACATTTTTCTAATCTGTCCCTATGGCTGTGACAAAGTCATCAACAAATAACGCTATTTTGGAGTTAAACAAAACTGGAGGTAAATAAGACCAATGTCATTTTGGAGTAAGCAGGGCAATGCCACCCCCCAAATCCCCCATCACTGGTTGGCAGGATTCTGTTGGCCCACATTGTCACTGGTTGCTAGGATGCTGTCAGCCCACATCATCATTGGTTGCTAGGATGCTGTCAGCACAAAATGTAATTGGTTGCTATGAATCTGTTGGTTGCACAGCATCCTTGGCTGCTAGGACGCTGTTGGCTGCACAGCAGCATAAGAATCAATGATGCTGTGCAGCCGACAGCATCATAGCAATCATGGACACTGTTTGGTCCGGGGGCTAAACATGTACTGAGGGACTGTCCGCGGTATGGACACTCCAGCCTCAGTGTTGTCGACAACATGCTTCTATGCAACAAAGCCATGTTTTCGACAGGTACATAAACTTGTCACAGGCACCACCATTTATCGTGTAGAGACACATTTCTAAAGGGTGTCTGTGACATATTTTATGAATTCCAGGTTTTTTATTCTAAAGTTAAATGCAACAATTTGTCTCTCAGCGTTTGCCCAGTAGCCTAATTGGTTGTATGAGTGCCATTTTCTTTTCCATAAACAGACTTCTGAAGCAGAACTCAAAATGTTCTATCTCTTCTTTTCTTCACTAGAATTTCTAATCTGCTGCATGGTTGTGGTGGAAGTGTTAAGAACTTGGCAGAACTGAGCAATCAACCAACAGGTCAGTTTATACTCCATGGACATGGACTTTGTAGAACAGCTGCAAAGTTTTTGACAATATATGTCTACCGTTTTCAGGGACTGGAGATTCAGAGTATGCAAGTATTCCCATAGTTCCAAGAAGAGTTTCTTATGATTTGGATACAGAAAGCCAAGAACATACAGTGCTGTACAATTACACTGCCCAGGTAAGGAGCGCTATACACTAACGACTCGTTCAGGTTCTCTCTATCTCCTTAAATAAGGGGTTTAGTTGCCATGAGTTTTGTGTGTCTCCCGTATAACATCTCAGATCTGGTATGGTTTCCCTGTCTGTTCTGTCAGTTTGTGCTTCTGCCCTCTTTATCTTTGTTTCATCCGTTCTTTGTTTTTTTTGGGGTTTTTTTGCCTGAGTGTGACTCTCTCATGTGAACCTCTATCTGTTTCTACATTTGGTCTAGGCTCTTCTGTTATAGTATATCCTGATATGATCTGCGTTGGGTTTGACTTCTAATCCTGTTTCTGTGTCCGTTTTTTGGCTTTATCTTCTAATCCTCATTGCCCACATTAGCTTTGGCTTTTGTTCCTGACCAAATGGCAACATGATACATGGCAACATGTATCATGTTGCCATTGGTTATAACAGTGTCTTCCTGTTTGCCAGCAGTTCTCCCTCTAGGCCCTTGGTTTTCAACTGGTGGGTCATGACCCAAAAGTGGGTCGCGACCCCGTGTTCAGTGGGTCACTGCATGCCTTCCACTTTTCTAGGTGACAGGCTCCTCTGCCTCCCTATAGCACAGCACTGTCAGTTCTCAGGCCAAGCAGCCATTCAAAATATGCTGCCCGGTGCCAAGTGATAGCTTGAGGTGGGGTGGGGCCATGACTGCGAGAGAGCTCCATCCATACGTGCATTGCTTACAGCTCCCTCGCGTGCCCCGTAGTGGTGCATGGACCGGCGTGACGTCACATTCTGGCTCCCGACACCTCTACAGGTCGCGCAAGGAAGCTGTGCAGGCAATGCACATATGGATGGAGCTCGATCACAGCACAGCAGCCCACACTGGACCCCAGGCTGAGGATCCACTCCAGTTCTCGTAAGATAGGGAGACTGGGTGGATCTTTTTTTTAAAAGAAAGAAAAATGAAATTTTTTTTTGAGTGTTTATGTGAGAATGTCTGTGAGTGTCTGTCAGTGTTTTTGAGGGCCCGTTCACACTAGTACAGTGCGTTAATTGCGCAGTCCTGTGCAATTAACGCACTGTACCACGCAATCGCACCTACCGCGCATTCATTTGAATGGCACCCCATATGCACCTCCCACCCACAGTTCGGTTGCCCACATTGGAACGCTCTGTACCGCAATGCCATGCGTTCCATTGCAGTGCAACTTGGGTTTGCGACTTAATGACCAAGGACAAATGTGGATCCTGAGGCTACACAGGTTGAGAGCCACTGCTCTAGGCAATCCCATGGGTCACATACTGGTGACCCATGGGGTAGGGTCACCAGTATAGTTGTCCTGCTACACAAGTCCATCTGATTCTGTACCTTCATTTTCTCTGACTCTCCAAACTTACCTGACTCTCCCCGACTCTGCACTCTAGTGAGAGCCATTTACCTTTAGCCGACAATGTAGTATCCTCCTTTTTGTCTTTATGGATCTTGTACTTGCCATCCTATGTCTATGCTGCACACGTTTCTGTTCCTTCTCTGTCGTGGATTTGCACTATGCTCCTGTCTTCAGGTCCCTTCACCCCAGGAGTTCCCAAAACCCATGTTAGTAATCTGTTCTTGGAGGAATAAGTGATACAGGAGTTACTTAGTAGATATTTGTTAATAATGTTTACAGCATTTATACTTTATACTGTTTTTCTTGGTTGCAATTATACTTGTGTGGCATTACTGAGGGTGTTTGTTCTTTTAAGTATTACTCAAGCTATAACAGGGTTTTCCTACTACTGCATTCTTCATAATCCCAGATAGCAAGCAATTGAGCTGCAAGTTTGAAAATGACTTGCTAAAGTATTGCAGACTTGCCAAGCTTCACAATTTTGTTGCACAATTACAGCAAGTCTGCATTGCAAGTCTCCAGACCAGCGAGCTTGCAGAGCTCTTGCTAAGACCTACAGTACTCTTGCTGTAGACTTGCAAAGCAAATTTGCTACAAATTCAAAAAGTGTCAACTAGAACTTGTGCTGCAAGTGTTCTGCAAGTCTACAACTTGCCAGGAATGTGTGCAGCAAGTTAACAAAAATTACAATTTCACCCTGACACAAGTTTGTAGCAAGTTATCTTTGCTATCTGGGATGTAATCCCAATTATAAATTCAGCAGAGAGCGGAACCTTTTCTTTAAAGGAGAACTATGGGGTCAGTGTTTTTCCCCATAGTTCTCCTTAGGGTAACGGGAGCTCGGGGTATACTGAGACGCCGCAGCCGGAGCGGATCCCGACGTAGATGACGGGATCCGCCCAGCTGTGTGAGTGACAGCTGGCTCTGCCGATCTAGAGGCCGAGCCAGCTGTATCCGCCCCCCTCCCCCGTCCGTTCCGCCAGTCAGCGCTGGCAGATCGGAGCGGGGAGAGGGGAATCCAGCCCCTCCCCCTTTCATGGCAGAGAGCCGTGACAGGATCGAGAGGTGAGCGAACCTGGTATGTGTTCGCTCACCTCCCGATCTACTGAGCCGACCTGTGACAGTCTCATTGTCACAGGTCGGCTAGAACTATGAGGTGAGTGGAAATCACTCATCTCATAGTTCTCCTTTAAGGAGGACATTTACACATATCTTCAAAATAACAACAAACACATTTTAGAAATGTTTAGTAATGACAATCTACAAACACATACTTCCAGATAAGTACTGGCTTCTTATTCTCTGCATACCATATTTTTCTTTTCTTCCCCAATCTTCTGACAGTGGTCATTTTAACTGAGCGCAGGTTACTAGATCTCCCCTTACTTTCTGGGACATGTGGCTAGGACATGTGGCCATGCACTTCATCTCAGGGGAGGAAAATGCCTTTCCCTGAGATCTCATAACATTTCCCAACAATGCTCTGCTGATGTAACCTTCCCAGGATGCAATGCTTGGGCATGATTACATCATTTGTGCCAAAGTGGACCAGGAAGTGGAAAAAAAAGAAATTGTAAGTAAAATAAAAATATATTTGTTTAGCTAATGAATGTAAGAGGATTTCATATCAGCATGCAGAGCTGTATACTGATGTGCTTTTTAGTCAAAGGGGGTAAAGGTCCAGTTTAAGGCATTACCAAATTTGAGAAACAGTTTTTACCTCATCACCAGGCTTGTAAAATTCTTCCTGGGGCAGCTGCTGGGAGACCAGTTCCTATTGACATGGGCACGCCCCCCAGAATTGCATCTTCCAATGCCCTTTCCCTACACACAATATGTGGACAAACGTTTGGGAGTCAATGTTTGTTTTGCTGGGAAATAAATCAATATATGCATCTGGAAAGAGACAAAGAAGGGTGGGGGATAGTTGGAGTTCTGTTTTCCTGGAGACCGGGCTGGCAACGCTGGTTGGGATTTTAGTGCAGCAAAGGCACAAGTTAGGAGCACTCTGGATTTCTGACAGATTAACAGGCATTTTAAAGCTTGGAAAATTTGCATACGTTGGAGAGATGAGGTAAACATTTTCTTTTATTTTACCCTGACATTTACTAGAGTGGTTTCAGGCAGTAATAGACTTGGGAATTCAGCAACACGAATCTCAAAACTGAAGTCCCCAAGAGGTTTTCAAAAACGTCACCTGTCACTATAGAAATAGAATACAGACTTTTTAAAACTAAGGCAGGAGTAGGCAACTCTGGCCCCCCAACTGTGCTTTACTACAAATCCCAACATACCTTAGCCTCAGGGAGTCATGCCTGTAACTGCCAGTCTTGCAATGCCTCATGGGACTTGTAGTTCCACAACAGCTGGAGGACAGAGTGGCCCACCCCTGCACTAAGGGGTCTATTTGTAAAACGTTCTCATCTAGTGGCCATAATACACTGCAAATCTCGTACCCAGAGATGTTCGCTCAGCAAGTGTTTCATAAATAGACCCCTTAAAATTAGCCTTTCTGTTGATTACAGAGGTTGCAATGACAAATTGGGAGGCTGCCAGAGACATATTTAGTGCCAAAGCTTTAGGGGTTGTTGGGGTGCTATAGTAGATAACAAAAGCTATGAGTAGGCACCTTTGTTACCCTTTTACTTGATTTCTTTAGTGCCAAGCTTTGTTTGACCTTTCAGCATCTTCCAAAAGAAGGAACATCAACTGTGCATGAAATGATCCATTCTTTTGTTATTTTCAGAATACGGATGAGCTGGATATCAGTGCTGGAGATGTGGTACATGTGTTGGAGGAGGGAGAAGATGGCTGGTGGACTGTGGAGAGGAATGGTCGCTCTGGATTGGTACCTGGATCCTACATTAAAAAAGGAGACTAATGTACTGGACAAATTGGATGGCATACCATGTGACAACAAACTGGATAGACACAGGATGCTCTAGCTGTGTCACAATGAATTAGCAGTACAGATTTGTATATATGAGCATACTTCTTAACCCTGTTTAAAAATGTCCATTATTATCATTAAGGACTGGCTTACGAAAATCCCAAGCCTAAATACACCAAGACAGTTGAAGAAGAGATAATAGTACCTTGTCCAGCATGTGGCTATTAGTCAGGGGTAGGCAAACTCTGACCCTCTAGCTGTGTTGAAACTACAAATCCCTTCATGCATCTGCCTCTGGGAGTCATAGAGTCTTGCAATGCCTCATGGGATTTGTAGTTCCACAGCAGCTGGAAGGCCAGAGTTTGCCTACCCCTGCTATAGGCAATATATAAATCTGACACTGATGTACAATTAAACCTTGCAGTGCTGCATAAAAAGGTGCTTTGCTTTGATCATGTGTCCTTATGTTTATCGCACACAGGTAATGCAGCAGTTGAGAAAAGTATTGCAAACTTAGGTTTCTTCAAGATTAATTTTTGTGGTTTAGATACTGAATAAAAAACCCTAATCTACATGTAGAGATTAAACAAACTACCACTAATTATATTAAAATTACATTTATATTTTTTAAAGCATTTGTATTGTTTCATGTATTGTACAACCATTGCTATTCCATTGGAAATATAAGCAACATTACATTATCATTGGTTTGAGCTTTGAGCTTTATGGAAGTATGAAGCACTTGATTTATCAGTATATTGAGTATATTGATTTGCTCCAAACTTCAACTGGTTCTTTGGCCGCCTGCTGTGTATAGATTGCTTTAAGGTGGCCATACACTGTGTGAATTTCAACCGTTTCTTGAGGAACTGTTGGGCCACTGTCGGCACCCTTTGGGCCGGCATCCCTCGATCAGCTGATTGAAGGAGCCTGTCGGACAATCTTCGTACGAACGTGTAATGACGTGGGACCATGGAGCCGGCCTCCCGGCCAATCAGAAAGCAGGCGGTTGCGTCAATACATACCAAGGTAGGAGGGGACAGACTTTCTTGTTAATCGGGAAGCCGGGTGGCAAGTCTTTACACGCTGCCCGGCTAATCAGGAAGCCAGGTGGCGAGACATTACACGCCACCTGGCTTCCTGAATGGGACTTCCGTTACTCGGTAATTGGTATCGGCGAGTACCATAAAAAAATTATCGGTACTCGTACTCAGTACCAAAATACCGGTATTGGTGCATCCCTGGCTTTTATCCTTCCCGATGAGTTTTTTGCTTCGTTTAAGATTTAAGATGCAAGGTTTAAGATTTTTATCTGCCGATAGTTCTTCTTTAAGTGAAAAGAAGCTGAAATAAATCAATGCAACTACTTGTACCAGAGCTGGAAAGATGCATTATACATTTTGTTTTTGTTTTTGGGCATAGATATGCTTTATAGAGAACCTATGTGGATAGAAATGTGGAAGCTGTCATTACTTACTCATTTTTACATTTTTAGGGTCCAGGGTAGAAAATGAGATAAGTGTATTTTTCTCTTAAACACCAAACAAGTACTGTATAACTGACAGAAATAGAACTGATCCAATGTCAGAAGAAAAACGCTGTTACCGAGCACTACAGATAGTGAACACTCGCCCTGAATGGTGAGAAACATTGCATGCATGCAGCCTCATTCTGTTCATGTTACCTTTGCCAAACCCGGCCCAATACAGAAACAGGTGTGCTATCTATGACACATGAAAGTCAATGTTGATAAAGGAGGAGTGGTAGTTTTGTGTGAAAGACAAATGCCTGCAGCTATGAACTCTGCTGTTTCATGTTACAAAGCAGTTTGTATACATAGACACGAGTTGACCATTGACCATTTTCATGCCTGTGGGCACTCGACTGCTCAGTCGCAGAGGGTGAGATAGCAATTAGCTAGATTGGATATTGAGATTGCTATTCTTTTCCAAGAGATAGTTCTGGAGGTCTCATCCTGCTCTCTTCTCCACTGTATCCTCTATGGCCAGAAACATACATTGCCTGGCCAAAAAAAGTCACTGCCTGGATTTAGCTAAGCAAATAGGTCAAAGCCTTCCATTGCATAATAGGTCTAGCTTTAGCAACGTTATATCCCCAAAAAATGAGATCAGCTGCTTACCTGAACATACTGAATGACCACCTTTTTTTCGATCAATGGATTTTTTCTTCCCTGTTGGCACGGGAATCAGTGGCGTAACAACCAGGGCTCAGCCGGTCACGGCCCGGTGGCCGGAGCCTGAAGGAGGGGCCGCAGAATGAAAGGCTGCAGCGGTGTGGAATCCCGGACGGTAAGCTGCTTTCTACATTTAGTCCTGCTTTGCTCAAGCAGGACTAAATGTAGTGTGGGGAAGCCGATCGTTTGTTTACAAGTGATCTCGGCGATGTCGCTGAGATCACTTGTAATAAGACTGCAGCCCCCCCGCTGGCTCCGTCCTTCCTGCTGGCTCCGTCCCCCCTGCTGGCTCCGTCATCCGGGCTCCGTCCTACCCACTGGCTCCGATCGAGCAGAGTAGACCTTTCCCTGCGATCTTTGTTTTTCGTTGTTTTTTCTAACATCGGGAGCCGCGAGTGCTATCTGCCATCATTTCAGGGGGGGGCGCTTTCTCCCCCCCCCCTTTCCCCCCAGCGGATGGGGGAGGCAGAGGGCACCTCCCTGAAATTGCTTTTTTTCAGATTGGGATCCCTGGTAACCCTGCCGCTCCGTGTAATAAACAGTGAGAGGGGCTTGTTAGCTCCTGTGTGATAGCGATAAAGTTAGGTG